TTTCAAACCCCAACCCTTCCCGTGGATTAAAAATTCTAGCTTCAGATGGTTTGTTTAGAAAGATGGTTTGATCAGTTTGTCCACGTTTGTATAATAGTTCTTCTTTTTCCTTCAGMATTTKATTGTACTTAATTATTTTCAAATCAAGCTTACTTATTTTGGCAATATGTTCATCATTAACTAAAACTAATGATTTATATTTTTCCTTTAATTCAGATAACTCGGAATTTAAAGCATTGAATTTTTCTTCAGAAATTTTGGACTCAGATTGCAAAGATTTAACCAAAAGACCTCTGGTTATGATAAAAGTCTTTATTTTAAAACCTTTATCTAGACCTAGAGGCTATATATATTATAAAGAGGCTCTATGTCAAGAAGTTGGTCATGCAAACCAGTTTTAAGTGCTTTCGGACCCAGAGGCTCTGTATCATCAAAAGTTGTATTTTAAATTGTTTTGTTCTTCTTTCTCTTACTTAAAATTTGAAACTATATCACGGAAATTATTTGGCAAAGTAAGACGAACCAGAGGAGCTCTGGTTGGTAAGACCAAAGGCTTTGGTTGAATGGACCAGAGGATCTTTATTTTATCACTGGATGCTTATTGTGTTAAATTGATTCCAAAAGAAAAGCTCTAGTTGGTAAGACCAAAAGCTCTGGTCATTGGACCAGAGGGGCTCTGGCCCTGGTGTATGATAAAAAGAACTTTTCCTTAGAAACAGATCTGGACCTTAGAACCAGAAGGGCGCTGGTCATTATGAACTCGAGGAGTTCTGACTAGTTGAACCAGAAGAGTGTTACACTGTTTTACGCGCAGTACAAATTTCTGAGATCATGTTTATGTTTATATGAAAAATTGATTTTAAATAAGTTTTGGTGATCTTCACCTTGTATTTGCAAAGAAAAGGATGTCTCACTAGACCTCCTGGTCCAACCCCCATTTTGTGTTTTAAAATATGCAATTCAGGAACAACAGGGTTACAGGATAGTAAAGGGAGAGGAAAATGTAATTATTTTTTTATGTGCTTATCTATATGAAGATCAATTTGTGAATGGATGTATTTTTTTGAAGACACATGTTATGTTACATGTGATAGTGCAAGAACTGTATTATTTTAAAATTTTTGGATTGTGTATTTTATATATAAGTTTCTTGTACTTTGGGACCTACGTGGTGTAATATATATTTCCTTTGAATGAAGTATATGTTTATATGCAATGTGTGAAGTGGGGTGTTACACAATTGAGGTGATTCAAATGGCTCTGGATAGATAACAGACGGATCTACAAATTTCATTTTGAGTTTTCACATATTTGAAATTTAGAAGGGCCATAAGTATCGTTAAAATGAAATGTAGTGTGCTAAGGCAAAACTGTTATGCATCGAGTCAAATCTGCTTCTTGAGTGAAGGATTAGAGCTTCTGGAGTGAAGGACTAGAGCTTCTGGAATGGTTCACTTTACCATAAGCTAACACGTTGAACTAGAAGCCGCTGGACAGATATGCGTGACTATTTTACATCGATAATATCTTATTACTATGAGCTCTAGAGAAGTTGAATATAGATTCCATGAACACATAATAGACCTCTATACACTTTTTATGTTTTGAGTTTTTGCAAACTCTAGAGCTATCATGATGTAATTTAGTGTCAAAGTTGGTATAATGTTGCTGGATGATAACCTTCTTTGCTAATTTGAGTTTCAAAAAAGAAAAGAGGTAGCTATGCCTTCATGTCCAGAGGACCCGGGAGGTGGGGGTTCTTTAAAGACTTGTCAGAGATAGGGCTATTTCTGGAAAAGCCAACTAGAAGGGGCATATAGACTATAAGGTCATACGAAAGTGGAACATACTATAACATAAGTTTTTGATAGATTTGTGCTACTTTGACATTTTTAGCATATCTCACTCCTCCGAGCACCAATAAATGTGAGATCAAGGTATCTGGAAAGCTAACACACTGATTTAAAATAAAAATGTATTTTATTTTAATTGTATTTTTTATAGAAATAATGATAAAGTATTTTGTTAGGGCTTAAAGATCATTTAATTTAAAGGATAACCATATTTAAGATATTTTATATTTAAAATTAAAGAGATGATATACTTGAACAAAAAAATAAAAATGTGGTGTTTCATCTCGGATTTTCTTATATTTATCAGTTAGTTATATGAAAAGTTTTAAAACTTTAGATATTTTAGAAAATATAAAAATTGTGTCTCATCTCACAATGTTAATTTATCTAATATTTCTTATGTTTATTTGCAGTTAGTTACACAAATTCAAACATGAAGCTTTTTTTTTATTAACTTGGATATCCAACCTGTTATGCAAGCTGATTAATCCCAAGATGATCACCTGCTTTGCGAGTAGCACGAAGTCACCGCATTTGAACATTCGTGGCCACAAAGGGATTTTTTTTATTCCTCATTGGATTCGAACTTGAGACCTCCAGACACTTTTGATCTTTGCAGCCCAAACATGAAGCTTTAATTAGTTGTACTTATGCTTAATCAACTTGTAATCTTGAAAACTTTAATAAGTTGCACTTATGCTTAATCAACTTGTAATCTTGAATTTTAAGTAATATACATTAATATAAGTGATACTTAATGCATAAAAGTAGTTTTTAAGATTTCACCCTAAATGTTTTATAATATAGTATAGATAATTAAATTCTCGAACCTTTTTTGAATTAAGGAACTTTTGAATTTTCTCATTTTGAATAATTAAGTCCCTGAATTTTTTAATAAATAAACCAAGTGAACTTCTAAAAATTGGTTATCTAAATCCTTTTATCTCGAAAAAACTACATGTAATCGGTTCGGTTAGGAGGATTTTAAAAATTGGTTATCGTTTCCAAATCCTACGCCATTAATGGGAGTGATGACATTGGGAGTATGAATGTCGTAGGAATTGGGAACTGTAATACCCTCATTTTCACCATGAGAAGTGTCACGTCATAAATAATAACTTTCACATAAGCATCTCCAAAGTAATGGCAAATAAAAACTGTTTACAATGGTAGACTTTAAAGTAATAAACATGCAACTTAATTGTTAACCCTTACATACTGGATTCCGTTAAAAAAACATATACAAACCATAAAAGCTTAAATACTCAAACTATACTTAAATAAATATGAGTAAAATCCTACCAAGCATACCACTTGCCTTTATGAATTCCTGAAATGTCCTATCTTGGGATGCATACTATAGTAAGCTAAATAACTCAGTGAGCTCATGATTGTGCAATAACACCCATTCTAATATCATATAACACAATGCATTAGATTTAAGAAAACACACCATAGGCATTTTCAAAAGAAATCAAAATTCATAGAAGATCTCATAAACTTGTCTCATCAAGTTGGAATGACAGGTCACGAATATTCACTGGGTATGTAAAACTCTCCTGAAGCTAGTAACCCGTTATAGGATCATTTTGCTATGTCATTGACATTCCCTGACGTGGACGGCTCACATAGTGCTTGTCACTCATTTCAGGATCTGATCTCTCCTTAAGTGTGATACACCTTACTAACATCATATTATCCCAACTGCGTACTGCTGGTACAATTTAAATCAACTAAAAGCTTCAACATGCAAGAAATGTTTATGAACAAAAAATAATTAACATGCATATCCATAGATCTCCATATACATGTAATCTCAAAAGTAAGAACATAATTAAAACACCTTATAATGCATAACATTTATCACCACATAATCATACATGTAAAAGTACAATTTCATATATATGTATACATCTTAGTGTAATAACATGATGAATCATCCAGATGTTTGCTACCAAAAACTTGATATGAACCGTGCACTCTACTCAAGGCAAACACCTATGTGTCAAATCATAGTCACTGGGTCAATTACCAACCACAACATTCTTACATACACTCTAATATGCAGCAAGTTGATTATTTAAGCATTGAACATGTTACAAAACCCCATGATTTCTCCTACCTTTAGGGTTTTTAGAATTCAATATCCAAACAAAAGTTTTAGATTAACCTCTTCTAATTTCATACATTCAAAACTCACCTCAGGGGCCGTTTATCAACATTTTTGGTTAAGTGCTGATTGGGGTAAGAGGTCTGACTGTGGTAAGAGGTCTGACTGGAGTAAGTACTGATTGGATTTTCTTGTTTACCAAACATTTTGTATTAAGTGCTGATTATGTCAAAAAGACTATTATGTCCCTCTTACCTCAATCAGCACTTACTCCAGAAAGAGGGACATAATAGTCTTTTTGACATAATCAGCACTTAATACAAAATGTTTGGTAAACAAGAAAATCCAATCAGCACTTACTCCAGTCAGACCTCTTACCACAATCAGACCTCTTACCCCAATCAGCACTTAACCAAAAATGTTGGTAAACGACCCCTTAGTTTCTAACAACACCCATACACCATTCATTGTCTTTTACTTTTCTGAGCCTTATGGCTTCTTAATCATTGTAAAAGTGATGTATAACCATTCGAGAACATTATGCTACTATCCATCATAAAATTAACAAGTTAGGATGAAGACTTATACCTCAACTTGGTTGATTCAACCACAAGGATGGTGTCTGATTGGTTTAAGCTTGGTTCCAAAGGACAAAAGTGCCTGGAGATCCCATGTTCAAATCCAAGGAGAAATAAAAATTCTCTTGTAGCCACAAAGGTTCAAATGCGATGACTTTGGATTACCCGTGGTTGTTCTGGATTAGTCAGCTTGCATAGCCGGTTAGATATCCAAGTTAATAAAAAAAACTTGGTTGGTTTATCCAATGATGTATGGAGTTTTTTTTTTTTTTTTTTTCCAATCCCCTTTTTTTAAATAAAAAAAAGTTTTAAAAGTGAAAAAACATTTAGGATGGTGCTACGCACGTGCCATTGCCACCGGTAGACAGGGTGGTAGAGAGAGAATACATGCTTGGTTTGGTTTGGGCAATTCCTCATAAGCGCAAACTAAAAGCCACCCCTCCTACCGTTGACAAGAGCAACCAAATCCTTGAGAAGATAATCCAACCTAAAATTCCCCTTTCCCAAAATCCCTTTCCTCTTCTTGGGTTTCTTTGTTTTTTCTCGATTAACGGACTTCAATTTTGTCTTGGGTGTGGCAATTCACATATCCCAAATACAGTTATTTATGACTGGAAGAACCCACACAAAAACATCTTAAGATCTGTAAAACAAACCAAGATCTATTGCTTTTCAATCTTTATGGAACAGCTTATCAACTTCATCATTCGCCCACCTAGGTAATTTGCATTCTCTCTCTCTAAATTTCGTAGCTTTCATGCCACATCTACATATGTGTGTTAGGTGAGGTTCTTGATGTACATGTGCTTTTACCCCGAATTTTGATCTGGTTTGTAATTAAGCAATCGTCCATTTCATGGGTTTATGAACTTTACCTTTTTTGGGTGTTTTTGATGTTGCTTTTAAGCGTGAGTTCATTCGTTTCTGTTCAATTGCGTAAAATGAATTTCAATTATCTGCGAGTAAAATCAGCTTTATAATGTTTCTACTTCGTCTGTTGCTTTTTACTTTTGGTATTAGTTGTTGCAGTGTTCAGAATTATGACGCTGTTTGTTTCAATTACTAATTTTGGTTTGGATCAGTAGGAGGTTAGGGTTTCAGTTGATTAAGTGGATAATTTAACATTACAGGAATTTGTAATCGGTTTTTAACTTGATATTCAATTGGGTAACTACTATATGCATCAGGTGACATATTTGCACCTAAATAATTCATGTTCTTGTTACTGTTTGTTGGTACATATGAACACCTTGAGATGGTATATTCTATGTCTAATTTTGAAAATAAAGATTTCTTTAAAGATAGTACATATGAACACCTTAAGATGGTATAATCTATGTTTTCATGGCATTGCTAAGCATTTGTTTAGATGGTAGAAGCTTCTATTCATCTAGGATGTTAGTTACACATGTGATCTTATGTTCAGATTTCAGAAAAATATCAGTTTTTTCCTTTGTTAATGTACTTCAACTAAAATTGCTTGTTTCCAAGATTGAATTTTAAAATTTGGTGACAACTGACTTTGAGTTGCCTATTTATGCTGGCCTTTACGCTTAGTGTCATTGATTTTGACCTTGCGGGCCCACTGAATTGTATCACCCGAGCTTGTAACATAAATAGGTACATGAAAACAGTGCTACTGCTTTTGCTTATTGGCAGTGTGAAGTATACTTAACATGGTTTCACTCATTCTAATTGAGCAGTATATTTCTTAAAATGGAGGCAGTCTATGCTGTGCATTTAATATAATTCTTTTTCTCTCTAGATATTGTTTTTAACACTATCAACTTATCTAGGATTATACGATCAATTCATGTATGATAAATCTCTCCTTTTTGGTGTCAGAGCTGAGTACGAGCCAAACAATGACTTACTTGATCAAGAATTCATGCTTAAAGGGAAATGGTTTCAGAGGAAAGATTTAGAGGTAAGATTTACTTTTACTGTTGTATTGAATTTTTATAACTAAAAGAGGAAATAAATTGTTGCAATGGGCTTTAATTTCTCTACCCCCTTCCTGCGCCCCCAAAAAATAGAAGATAATCAACCACAAGGGTTGTGGCTTAGTGGTTGAGGTCCTAGGGGATGTGGTGGAATATCCCATCTATCCAGGGTTCGCTTCCGGGCGTAGACAACAATTGTGGCCACTTAGTTTATTAGCGCTTATTTCTTGCAGTCACAATTTGCTGGGATTAGTCAAGGCATAGCCTTGGACACCCTTCAAAAAAAATAAAAATAATACAAGATAATCGTCTGATTCAATATCCATCCATCCAAATTCGTTATACACATTAGTGCTCATTATTATTATTGTTATTATTATAATAATAATAATAATAATAATAATAATAATAATAATAATAATAATAATTATAATTATTATTATTATTATTATTATTATTATTATTATTATTATTATTATTATTATTATTCATGAATCCAAGTGATTTTGGTTTTGGTCTCGTATTTTCAGATCGTAAACAGCCGAGGAGACGTTCTTCAGTGTAGTCATTACTTGCCTATTGTGAGTCCTGAAGGAAAGCCTCTGCCTTGTGTCATATACTGCCATGGAAACAGGTTAGTGAGATTCATCAAACCTGCCTACTTACAGTATGTGACCAGTCTAAGCTTATACACACTTTTGAATGATATTAGTCCATCTTTCACCGTCTCATTACTCTTTTGTAAGAAATCCTTCACGTAATCCCAAAATCTGACTGTTAAACAATTTTATGAACTCATTAAACTATAATCTGAACTCAATTTGTCGGAAGTTGTTTGAATCCAAACATTTTCTTAATTCGTTAAGGTATCCAGAAAAGAATAATAAAAATTAAGAAAGTGATCTTTATAGTCCAAACCTGTGCCCAACTAGTACAAATATTGGCTATTAAACCTAGAATGTGAGAGGTCTTAAAATGGGAAAGTCAAACATGGAAAATTGACATAGCCCATCCAATTGATTAAAGATAGCACAAGTATCACAAATAGATGACATCTCATCAATGAGAAGAACGTTACAGTGTTCAATACAACCATCCAGATTAAGAAAAATCACCACAGATAATATGTATGATTGTAAGTTTTAGCAAGCCATGAGGATGAGACACAGATATAGATATTTATGCTCACTTGCAACTTGAAACCAAATAAACTCCAGAATTCTAAATTCGTATTCGGTAAATTAATTAGTCATGTTGATTTAGATATAGCATAAATCTGTATACAACTAATGCTGACCAAAAACAAATTCAAATTTATTTGATAAAGATAAACTTCAATCATATCGGAATAAAAGCTGCATGATAAACTGATTTTTCAGTAAACATGTCTATTCTGATCTACTTCTCAAAGTTTGAAATGAGAGGTATAAGACCATTTAAGTTCGGTTAGCTCAATGATCTTTGATTAGTTTGCAAGAATTCAGTACACGGTAAGTATCAACTACATGTTTCCTTGGGGGCATTGGAAGCTATTTTTGTTTCTTTTCTTCATCAGAAGTTTGAGACAAATGGTTGTTTGCCCATCTGTATCAATTGCATTTTTTTTACACTGTTCCTTATACTTACGATCTGCATAATGTGATTATGTGCCAGTGGGTGCCGAGCAGATGCTAGTGAAGCAGCTATAATATTATTGCCATCAAATATTACCGTTTTCACTCTTGATTTCTCTGGGTCTGGACTATCTGGAGGAGAGCATGTCAGTCTAGGGTGGTATGAAGTAAGTGAATGAGCAATCTTATTTTTCTGGCGGACTTGTAATATTCATAATTAAATTGACTGCCTTTATTTTACCCTGTGATCAAATCTTCTATATTTTCATTATCACATGCAATTCTGTAGGATGGAAACTAAATCCATTGGTTTTAGCTGTTTAAATATGAAGACACATCTGTATGGTTGGAAATGGCTCATTATTGATAAATATTTCTTGATACTTAGATTGACACATTTATATATTTTTTCTTGTTCGGTAGTTTGTATGCGTTATAAGGACATGTTGACAGTTGTATGTTGTAGATGGCCATACGCTCCTAGCGTTCAACATCTCCAGGATTGTTGACCTGCAATTATTTGGGTTAATTTGGCTTTCTTGTTTCCGTACCTAGGGTGGTTGGATATAAATGAAGTATACCTAATTTCAAGCATGCACCAATTATGTTTTCAGACGTATATCATAAGATGGAACCGGAAGCCACCCATCACCCTCCCCTCTGGGATTGTTGTGGGATTCTACTCACTGCTTCTGTGTTGTTTTGTGTTCGACAGTCACTTGCCTGCAAGAGATTTTACTTATTTCTTGTTACCTGACCTTGTTGACTGTCAGCTTTCTTAGAGAATTCCAGTTGTATGTCGATACTCTGTATCTCCCAATGGTTTTAAATCTTTACAAGTTAGACATGCCATTTCTTTCCCATCCTTCAACGACTCGAGGTGAAACTGATCCAAGCTTCGTTCACGGGGATAGAATCCTGATATTTTCATCGTTAGCCTGTTTTAAATTAATGTAAACACTGTGTTTCCTTTTTGACTAGCTAATGCTTTTTGCATTCAATTTCAAGCTATTTGGCTTCTCATCCGACTGTTGAAGCCCTTCTCACTTAAAAAAGGTCAAAGCTGTTATTCGCACCATTAGGGTCTTAATATTTAAAGATCAAAAGAAAGGTGTCACTGGATCTCGGTCATTGTGGGGTTACCAAATTGCTCCTCTTAATTTTGAAATTGATATAGCCTTTATCCCTGTATCGATGGCTCAGCCTTCAGCATGAGTTTTGATGTGGCTTTATTATTATCGAGGGAACAACTGCGGTTCATTAATATTTTGATGTCAAGTTATCTATTTATCATCCTTTATGAGTTCCAAGGATGCTAATTTTCTGTTAGATCTGGGAAGTTAAGTGACAACTATGTCCTTGCTGCAAGTTTGAGGGCTATTCTGTCATTTTCTAACTCAAGGGCTTTCCTTCTTTTTTGGTATCCAGTGAATTTTTGTTATTTGGAGTAATTACTGAAAAGACAAACATACTACTAGAAAAAGGGGTAGACTCCCTATTTTACAAATAATGATTCTGGTTAGCAAATCCGACAAATGCTTGTTACAATGTTGACTAATTGAACTCTTTTTTGACTGATTGCTTAGTTGTCAAACCGGAGTGCTTATCTGTTAATGCCAACATGTTATGTGGTAAATCCACATCATAATAGAAGAAAAGAAAAGAAACATTAGATGTTTGACTTAGAAAAAAAGAATAAATATTTGGATCGGTCATCATTGTTAATGAAAATTATTATTTTCCTTTTAGTGTTCAAAATTTTAATTGAATGTCACAAATGACTTTGATGTCTCTAACTATATAATACTTTAACCATATGATGATAATTTTAACCTTTATAACTTCAGTAAATGAATATGAGTTGAGTACAAGTCATTCATATAGGATAATATCCAATAATGTTACATTTCCTATTACGCTTTGGTTAATGTTAACATTTTACTCATTTACTGTTATCTTTTCTTTCACATATTTAAATTGTTATAGATCTATTACAAGTTTGCCACCACAGTTACAGTTAGCGTCAACTGCAACACCCCAAAAAACTTGGGAAATAGGAACTTACCAAAACTTGGTATTTAAATATCAGAATACGGCTCACCCATAAAGGGAAACAACGCCAGTGAAATACAAACATAAATAATGGGTTTAGGTTAACAACCTCCTAATCTAATTGACACATGGACTATATTAGAGTCGGATGTCACTAAACCACCAAAAGTTACTATCTCCTCCACACGATAGGCGTCTTAGAAATGCTATCCAACTGATGCTTCTGAGCGTCACTAGGCCTGCTGCTAATGGACCTGATATACTTGTTGACAAGAGAAGTGTTAGGCTTAAAGCTTAGCCAGTTCAAACAGTTTATATCAATTACACAAATCAGTAAAGTTCGAAAGAATGTTGTATTAGTTATACTTTCCATCAAAGTGGAGTTACGACCACATGATGAAAGGTAGCTTTCCAAATGTGCCCAAAACATGGCAGTTATGACAACTCATGGCGTCTTGCGATGCGGGAGAGACTAGTTTTCGTCGGATGTGGTGTGAACAGAAAAGTATGCCACTAATCGATGTTATCAAATTCCACCTCAAATTCATTGACCTTAGTGCGCACTACTCCGTGTGTCACCTCAAGTTTCCATTTTTTAGTGTCCACTCCATCGAGTTTCACCTCAAGGTTACCGAATTTTAGTGTCTTTTCTTTTTCTAGCAGAGTGCCACCTCAAGGTTCCCGCTCGGCCCTTAGTAAATACTCCCTAGTGTTCAAGATTGGATTTTCCAAGCCTTCTTACTTGACAATACAAGTCAATTAACCTCATGCATAAAGATTAACGCATTATAATCCCAAACTTTGCAAATTATATCATGTAGGACAAAGTGTACCCAACTAACATGTAAACTCCTTGTGATTATATACTCATATACTTAATAAAGTGTAAATATCCAAGGGAATATCCGAAGTTGAACAAACTCCCAACATCCCAATAATGACATCATTCCAATAAAATCCATAGTTTACAAGATTATCCCATGAAGATCATGCTAGACTCCAAAATATGCATTTTCAAACTTGTATGCAAATCAAAATTTAAATCATGAAAAGTGGAGTGAACCATTAAATAGTGAAATAACAATCTCAAGACTAACACCCCTTTGGTTTATTACCGAACATCACAAAATATCCCCTTTCCAAGGTTTTAAACAACCAAATGTGTCGAATGGTACAAGTATGTCAAATGACCATAAATGGATTGCAATAAATCATGAGGAAAGTATTTAGAGACTCATGAAGATACTTTGACATGTATATAGTTATAGTCTAGCAACAAGGACTCAGAAAGCTAGGCTTTAGATTAAACCTAGAAAACCAAGCAACTCTAGATAATGAAAAGGAGACTTGAAGCTTGATCCAACTTGAATCCTTAGCTTTAAATGCTTTCAAGATCCTTGAAATCTGCCCTAAATGCTCCAAGTACCAATTTGATGAAGAGAGAAGATATGAGAGCAAATTAGAAATCCTAGGTGAAAAGAGCCCTTTATGCGACCAGATCGCCAACCACGACCTTAGATGGCGTGGCAATTCGCACATGCCATCCCACCCAGCTCCCAATGTTTCACGTGGCTTTGGCCGTGCCCAAGGCTGCAGGCCAAGCCGCCCAATCCGCCCAAGCCTTTGCCCGGTCACCAGAGAGCTATGCGACCTTGGCCGTGACCCAGGGTAGCATGCGAGGTTGTGTGGAATGTGGACCTCATGTTTGCGTGAAAACTCCAATTTTTATCCCCGCAAACGTGAAAGTGATTAATGGCATAATACTTTTATATAATTACCAAGTTCTACACATAATGGAGTTACAAACGGCTCAACATGAAGGCTTAAAAATTCAAGGTATTACATCAACCCCAAACCAGTAATATTATCTGAAGTTTATAGCATGCAATGGTAATATTTTTATTTTATTTGTCATATATAAAATAATATTGTAATATTTCTTCAAGTGCACCTCAAATAACCATTTTCTTTTGAGTGTCAAGGCCATGAAAATGATGACCCTTATCTGATGTAAGTTGTTAAGTGTTGCTTTAAAAATGGTTTACGTCCTTACAAGACTAATGCATTTTGGAGTGTTAATTGATATGGGTATGACCCATTGGCCATCAGGAACTGAACTTCTGCCAAGTGTGCATATTAGTTTGCATTTCTTGGATTTATTTTTGAAGTAAAGGAATTAAGGAAGTGTGTACCCTGATATACCAAAGGTTCAGATTATTAATTGTTGTTAGATTACTTCCACTCAGTAAGTTGACAAATATTGTTTTATTTCCCAGAGGGATGATTTGAGATCCGTGGTAAATTATTTGCGAGCCGATGGAAATGTTTCATTAATTGGCCTTTGGGGCCGATCGATGGGTGCTGTGACGAGGTACTATAAATGTATTCCTGTCTTGTTCTTTATTGTAAATTTTGCAGGCTATCAAACTATAGATAATTATCCTTGATTCATTTAGTTGCATCAAATGGTCAAAGATTAAATTACTTCCAAAGTTAAAGCGTATGGACTAGGTATTATTTATTTAAGACTTATCTAGTTCACTCTACATATCTTTCCGTTTTAATAGATCCATTGGTGTTCATATGCCTATGCCAAGTCAAATACTTCTCTCCTGAAAAAAGAAGCCAATTTAGTATCTGGAAAGACGTAATAGAAAATCTTTGATTCTGCGTGTAGTTGGTTGAAACCATTAACTCTTTCTCTTTGGGCAATTATCCATCGTAATCATGTTTCTGATGTGATCATTGAAACATTTTTCATGTCTCTTTCTGTTGTTCTCCCACATAATCAATATTTTTCAGTCCTATATGATCTCAGTTTTATGACTTAAAATGTTGATGATGTCAGCCTGATGTATGGAGCTGAGGATCCTTCAATTGCAGGAATGGTTCTTGACAGTCCCTTCTCTGATTTGGTTGATTTGATGATGGAACTTGTCGATACCTACAAAATTCGTCTGCCCAAGTTTACTGTATGTTGATCAATATATCTACTAATCGTAGTGATTTTTTTCTACTAGTCAAGACTATGTTGGATATAGATGTTAAAGAAACTTAATTTCGTAGTTTTGTTATACAACAATCAGAATATGAACATGATTTTGTGATGCCTTTTTCTTCTCAGGTGAAGTTTGCTATCCAATACATGCGAAAAGCTATTCTTAAGAAGGCAAAATTCGACATTGTGGAGCTGAATACCATAAAGGTTACCTCCATTTTTGCAACGCCAGCATCTTGTATATAGTTACATGCATATCATTATCAAGTTGCTTTTCGTATCCTATTGCTTCATCAAAACAAACCATTATGCATTGTTATCTATTCTTGTGATGCTCTATGTCAGAATCTGATACCATTATATTGATTATAGGTTGCAAAATCTTCTTTTGTTCCTGTTCTGTTTGGTCATGCTGGTGATGATGATTTTATACAACCGCATCACTCTGATCGTATCTATGATGCTTACATGGTAATTTATTGATACTTTATCATTGTCTCTCTGTTAACCTTCCTCCAATGTTCTATTACAACCTTCATGTACAAAGTAAAATAAAATAGCCACAATGAAACATATAAAAAGAAAGGGAACACACACAACCCTGCAAAATTTAGTAGGTTTAGTTGAACATCGATTCGGCATCTGATTGTTGTATAATTGCTGCATCTGGTTGATATTTTTTTTTACTTTCAAGGTTGTATTTATTACTATTTTTTTTACAGGGAGACAAGAATATCATCAAATTTGAGGGTGATCATAACTCCCCACGTCCTCAGTTTTATTTTGATTCTATAAACATCTTTTTCCACAATGTCTTGCAACCACCAGAAGATGAAGTTAGAGGGAGTTTCTTTGATACGTCTCTTGATTACCTTGGGAAGGTATATTTTACACGCCCACTCTCCCATATTACATATATATATATATATATATAAATAATATAATATAATATAAGGGTTATGATAAAGTGCTAGTATTCTATGCAAACCATGATCTTTTAACTGATTGTCATACCTTCAGGAAATCCATGGAGATGGATATGAAGACGATTTTTTAGTTACACCTCAAGGCAAGCTATTAATAATATGCTTCTGAGTTGGTCCGATGGCATATTCTTTGAATTGTTTGTGACTATGCGTTTTGTCTTATGAATGGATTTTCAGCATCGACTAGCACAGAGGATGCCATTAATCAACTCCGTTCTAAAAGACCAATGAGTAGGACTGAGGTTGGTTGTTGGTTTCAAGAATTTCATCGTATATGTGGGGGCATGTGCCTTCGGTATTTCTGTCTTTTTGTTTATTTGTGTTTGGCAATAATAGAACTTAACCACTAGGACAATCAACACATTTCATTTCTGAACTTGTATGGAAAAAATGCTATTATTATATGCTACACACATCAATTTGGAACTTAAAATCCCAGAAAAGGGCGACATTGGTGCACAAAGGTCAGACTTCACAAGTGGCCGATAGGAAGTAGTATTCGTATGCGTCTTTTTCCTTGCATTTTTGCAGAGACCTTATTTGTTTCTTTAACTTTCAGGTCCCTTCTGATATCCCATCAACAGATAAGCAATGTAATTCTGAGGTATCTTTCATTTCTCCTTTTTCTCTTTTCCCATCATTTAGTTGAATCATATTAACTACTCCCTCTATACCAATAGAGGGATCCTCTTTCGATTTTGCAATTGAAGCCATCAACTTTTCAAATCTAAAACCCTACCTTCCCTTCGGGTGGGATTAGGATATACTAGTTTACTTTGGCCCTTAGATTACAAATATATTACTGTTGTTATAATTTGATTTAATGATCATTTTATGATCATCTATATAAAACAGTTGGTATCAAATTTTGAAACAATAAATCAACCATTTGACACTCAAAAATCAAGTGATTACTCTTATTTGTCTTCAGCGTGTAACTTAGTTGGCAAAGGAGTGGGGCGACTTTGCCCAAATATAAGATAGGTCCCGGGTTCGATCCTAGGGCCCCCACTAGTCTTAGCCGCTTTTTGAGCCAAAAAATGCCCCATCACATTGGTGTCCTTGGAGGCGGGTTTCGTGTGGGGCCGGTTGGGGTTGCCGGTAATCAACTCTTTGGCCAAATATATCAATAAATTGACAGAAGGAATGATTCATTTCTAGAACTTCTGGCCTTAGGTTTGCGAATTTTTCTTTGATGTTTGTTAGAATTTAAAAAAGAACATGTTACCAAAGACAGGGAAGTTTACTTATGCCTAATGTTATTGTTGGTTCAGGATGAAGGAAGTACAACTGAGCCTATTCCATCCTCTTCTAAAATGATCAACTTTGAGTTTTCTAATGGCCTTCCATATGGTCCGCATGTACCCTCATCAGCAGAGGATCATGAGTATGTCGAATACCCACTTCAACACGTAGAAGGTTTCCCGTGCAATATAGAGGAAGAAGAAAGGGTGAGCTTTGTTTGCCTATCACCTGCTTTCTATATAATAAAAAAACATACATATGTTCACAAGTTGGGGGTCGTCATGGAAATGTCTGCTCCACTCTTTGGGATAGAGGTCAGGTCTACATACATCTCCCCTGGACCCTACTTTCGAGTGGGATTTATTGATGTGGTTTGGTTTACATATGTATGGTAACTCCCTATTTAGACTTTTGGGCCCTTCCAGACCGACTACTCCAAGAGCACTCATCCATAGACCAGTTATCGGTACAAATAACATAAAGAAATGTAACCAACGTTATTGATCGTCTAGTTCCTGTAGAACCTATCACTAAAATACCCCTATAGAGGGATAAGGCTAAGCAGAGCGAAAAGGATTCGGGTAAGTGTTTCCATAATTTTCTTCCTATCCGAAGAAATGATAAGGGTTTAGGATCACTTTTTGACGGATGCCTCACAGATCATGATGATATTAAGGGGCATCCCCACACAACTGGTAGGGCCCTTTGGGTTCGCGTACATGGGGCTTTGTGTGGGGTTATTAAACATACATAAACGTTTGTAATGATGATTGTTATCGAGGTTCCATTACCACGGGTAGCGAGAAAGATGTATCCCCACATACAAATCCCAAGCATCAACCATCATTGGTGACGACTCGAATACCAATGATATATTTGTGTGTATACATGGAAAACAGAATTTAAAGTGTCCAACAGGACTTCTCACAAGCCGGGGGTCTGCATGAAAACAGCCGCTGCTTTGGGGTAGAGACCCTATTTTCTAGGGGATATTATACTGGCATTTTTTGGTTTGGCTTTAACCTATTTAGTTTATGGGGACCATGTAAATACGTCTCCACGTATAGGCTAGACAGACTTTAGGCCTTCAGCTGGCCAAACGGTTAACTGGACTATTTTCAGACCGGTTAAGGTCAGAAACAATCTGGGCCCAAAATTTCAGATGTTTTTATCTAGTTTTTTATAAACTGTGTAGGTTTGTTTGTTTTTCCTTTTTCCTAAACTGTCCCATACAATAGACTGCCAATATGTTTTGTTTCTTTACATTCCTGTTGCTGAACTCTTTCAGATGCTCATGGAAGCTGTACTCCAGTCTTTAAAAGATTTAGAAGCGAAACAATTTCCTAGTGAGCAACAACCACAGCCGTCCAGTGATGGTAAGGCAAATCCAATAAAAATAGACCCAACACACGCTTCAACAGCAAGCAGCAGCGATTCACCTTCGCAATTCATGTCTCCCTGTAATAGCACATCTTCTTCAAGTGTTACTCCATCCGTGGATGGTTCAACTAGGACTACAGCTACTGCTACTGCTGTTGTTGGTTCCTCGGATGCTGACTTGGCTGATCGGACGAAAGCCACAGTAACGGTCGAAAGAACCCCGTCTAGTAACATAATGGATGGGTTGTTACGACGTTGGGATCTTAACTTCTTCAAAAATAGATGATGATTTCAATGTGTTGGTTATAGGAAGTGTTTTACATCTATGGTTATAATTTATTTTTTGGGTTTTGGAGGTGATTTGTTACTGGGATTGTTGGGTGAAAATGGAATTGGACATGGTGATAGAAAAGGTGTCATTTGTTGTATATAAGGTTGAATCCTTGATTGTTGTTCTCTCTCTCTCTCTCTCTACATATATATATATATATATTCAAATGTAGAGATACTGTTTGACAAAATTAGGTGGTGTGAAAAATGTAGAAAGAATTCATTTTTCATCTAAAGATTCTTCTCAGATAAAACCTTGTGTATTTCTTTTTGTGGTTTTTGCAGTCAATTTTTATGCATCTCGACTAGTCATATAAGGCTTTGAAGTTGAGATAAATCCTACCCACCTGAGTGGATTTGAATTGGTGATCTCTAGACAACAAATCCAAGATTTTACCGTTTAAGCTAAATGTTGAGATTAGTGGCAAGAGTACATAAACGAACTTGGGCTGGTTTCAAGAGGTCTAATCCTATGTGGTGATTTCTCTTCAATATATTTTTCTCGTTGGAACCTAAGCAAAATCAGAAAGAGCTTAGACCCCTTCTGTAAACAAATATTGGATATTGCTTGGTTCGAAGACTAGTTAGGCCTAATTTTGATATTGATTAAACGATCCAGATACAGATGGTCAGAGTATTTATTTCTTTTCTTTTTGATTAACCTGAAAATCCAACCCGCTATGTGAGTCGACTAATTCTAAGATGGCTAAATGCTGCTGGGTATGAACCCGGAGTAACCGCATTTAAACCTCCCTCGTCATAGTATTTTACCCCCTCAACTAAAGCTTCAACAGCAAGGAGCTAAGGAACGGCTAAATGGTGCTGGGTATGAAGCAAAGAAACAAGTCGTAACTAATATGTGTAAGAAAATGTTTTATGTATGACGTAGAGTTTGAGAAGTTGCTTTGGTTAATTTCCCTTGCATATGTTTATATAGCAAGAAAACTGTTTATGATGCATTTACGTGATGACATCACATGTGGCTTATGGATTTTTTTTGTGCATGTTAAGTATAAATATGTAAAGATCTGTAAATTTGTCATAATTATGGGTGGCTAAGTTAACGATGTTATAAAGGCTTATGGCTTATTGTGGGATCGATTTATGGAGTAAAAGTTCGGTTTTAGGACGAAAAAGGATTTGCGACCTGGTGACCTGGGCCGCGACCAAGGTTGGTAACTCGCTGGACCAAGTTATCAGAGACATGGACGACCTGGCCTGTACATAGGTTGTGGCCAAGGTCGCAGGAAGTGTTCTAGGCATTTTAAGGGCCGTTTTTCTAGGGTTTTAATCATTTTCTTCATGTTCTTCATTTTTCTCATGTTTGGGGTTTGAAGACTGATTTTGAGGGCCCTTTAAGTGTGGTTTGGATATTGGGAAGCTCTAAGTGAGGATTTAGCTTGGATCTTTCAACTTTTGAAGAGGTAAGTTTTTGAGGTATTTTGAGATCTTTGTTTGGGATTTTGGGTGGATTTGAAGTTCGTGTTATATTTGGCGTCTCTTTGTCTCGAGTGGTGATTTTGAGTAGATTCCTTGGAGAGATTTGCTTCTGGATCTCAAACATTCTTATTTTTGGAAGCTAGAGATTTGAGTTTGGAAACTTAGTTTAATCTAACATAGCACAGTGAGTTTCAAGTTGATTTGCGAAAACATTGTACGTGAAAAAAATGTCGATTTTGGAGTTTTGAAGTGTTTTCCTTGAGATTTATCAAATATGTTGGTTGCTTGATGATATTTTATTTTAGTACATTTGATTTTATAAAATCTTCAGAAATGCTTACATTTGAATTTTTGAATATTTTTGATAAATAAAATCATGAAAGGGTGGTTATTTGCTGATTTATTTCATATGTGGGGATTATTTGTTGTTATTCCCCTTTGGTGTATTTATTTTATAAATCTTTTGGAAAATGCATATTATTAGGTTATGAGATATTTTGGAAGTATAAGTTGTATGGTTTTCATTTGGATAATTCATTCCAACCAATAACGAGTTTTTTTACGTGATCATACTTTTGGAGCATGGGTTGCATAAAACATTGGGTAAAGCATATTCTTTTTACATATGTTGACTTCTATTGAGTAGTCAAATAAGTTGTGAAGTTTGTATACTTAATATTGGGCCAAATGATCTTTCACGATTGCCTGGTTTATATGTCCAATGGTGATATTCGAATATGATTTGCATATTGCATATTTATAGGGATTGCATGTTTTGAAGTGTGTTGATCATTCAATTGGAGTCACATAATACAATGAAACCATTGGTATTTGAGTCATTTGTGTTTGATAAGTGAAAAGTTTTAATGTTTTCACGTTATGGCTAATGCTCAAGTAGTCGTGCATGTTGGTCATCTCGGTATTGTGAAGGACAACTCTAATTGGTTGGACTCTGGGACAGTAGGTATTGGGAGGAGGTGATATCTTGTTGAGTTAGATCCCGGAATCCTCAGTATTACAGTGATGCACTCGTGAGGAGTCGAACATCGAGACCCATGTTTTGAGGCTTTGGCCTAATAAAGTTGACATTAAGTCATTAGGGGTTTTGCGGGGATGAAATCGTGTGGAGTCGGGCCCCGTGGCTTTGAAAATGTGACTCTATTATGTGTGGTTTTCACTAAGATCAATGATATTATGGAGGTGAACTCGTATAACGTCGGACTCTGAGACCCCGGGCATTGTTGTGGAAACTTGTGTGAAGTTAGACAACTGGACCTTGATCTTGAAGTGCTACTCGATAACATTGATGATTGACTTACTTTGTATTTCGCCATGATAAATGAAAACGGGTCTCTCCCTTCGCACGAAAGGTGTCATTTTTGGATGTAGAGTATTATCCATCTTTTCAGTGTCATTTTGGATATGAAGTGTTGTCCATAATTTGTGATTTAGATATTGAACCTTATCCATTATTTTTGACGTTTTGGTAAATAGAATCTTATCCATATGAATATTATTTTTTATCATGCTGTCGGTGTATATTGAGGTTTTTGTTTCATATAAAAATGAGCATTTTGGTTTTTGAGTTTTCATGAGAAAAATTGTCACACATGGAATCTTTTAACATATACATGGTCTAGTTTCATTTAAAGATCTTTTTTTTTCATCCTTTAGCTAAGTCTCTAATCCACTTTGTTTGTAGCAAAGTACTTCTAGCCTCCTCAAGGATAGCCATAATGACTAGGTCAAGATTTTTAGGGTTTTGGAAAGATATTGTTATGATAAATACATTTCATTCGGGAAATGGTGATTTAGTAACATTCTTTTAGTTTTACTGTTTTATATAATTAAGATGAAAACCAATTGAACTCTTTAGGCTTTAAGCCTAACACTTTTTCTTGTCGGCATGTGCATCAAGTCCTTGTTGAATAATGGTACTAGCAACCACTATGAAGGGTTGAGTACTAGTTAGAGGCACAAGAAGAATTTAGCGATTTGGAGACGTCTTTCGTGCTTTGGAGATAAGATTGTTATTGGGTTTTAGTAACACTTGTCCCTATTATGGACTTTGTAAAAGGTTTTATTTGTAAATCATTAATGTAGAATCTTAAATCGTCATTATAGATATCAAGTGTTTAGCTTTAGGAAGGAATTTATTATTAGACCTCATTTTCTGCATATGTAAAAGTATAAAAAGCTAAGTGTTGAAGTCCAGAAACCAGACTTCATGAAGATCTAGAGATGCTTAACAAGATGATCACATGGAAAGGCAGAGACCCCGACTCCACTTTGGAACGTCTTCCGGACTCAAGCTTTTCCCATAATGATCAAGTATGAACTTGCACATGCATAACTGTTAAACCCCATCACTCTCATATGTAAAAGTAATGAAAAATGTACCAAGTATGGAAGTCTGGAGACCTGATGGAAATATAGAAGAAGGAGCTGAAAAGATTCTAAATGCTGAAGACAAATCAGAGATGCAATTAAATATCCATAGAGGCTATGAAGACCTGAAATACTTAGCCTGATAATCATCATCTTTTGAAGAGTTCATCAAGTCGATGAACTTAGTCTTTCCATAACCCCTTTGGTGTTACAACAACTGAAGAATCTTCAAGTGTCAAACATAGTTCGATCAGATCTACTCTAGCAAGCAGATACATGAACAATCCTGATTGGACACGCTACCTACAAACAGTGGGACATGACTCATCGCCAACATGAATTCTGTTATTCTATGTTGTTAGAGATAACCTTCATCTTTCTAGATAGATATATTCTCCTTGTTTATCTCATAGATATCCTATACTTGATTGTTAGCTTTTAGATTAGGTTGCTAGTATAAATAGCATTCACATGCCTTGTAAAATGTTGATTTCTTCTCATTATTGTTATTATAGTGAAATCATTTGAAAGCTTCTTACGTTCTTGAATATTGTTTAAGTTGTTCTTCACTTTCTTCATCCAAACGATAGATTTAGGTTCTTAATCTTCGTATTAAATTGAGAGATCTATGATCAACAATTAGTATCAGAGCAGATTGATTGATTTTTAATCAAAACGATCAATTTGAATCTAAGCATTCAATTCTCTAAAAAAAAAAAAAAATTCTTCAAGTTCTTTGAAAATTTAGTTAAATCCAACTCCAATGGCCAAGTGGAATTCTGCATATAACGTTGGATCTCTCACCAAACCCCCAACTCTTCAACATGAAAAGTATCCCAATGGAAGATAAGAATGATAAACTTCCTCGAAGGAATGGACAAGAATCTTTACAGATCTGTCCTAGAAGGCCCTTACATACCCCAGACTTTAATTCCTAAAGTACATGGAACTGCCACCACTGAAGAAATTGCTGCTTAATATGTGGTAAAAGATGAAAAATGCATGGGACGAAGAAGACATCGAATGGGTGGGAGCTGACAAGAAGGCAAAGAGATTGCTAATTATGGCAATCCCAAATGATATTTTTCAATCTCTGGACGCCTGCACAACCGCCAAAGAGATCTGGGATGAGTTGGAAATGCAACTTGAAAGAGGGTCCAAGACCAGGAAGAATAGAAGGGCCCAGTGCCTAAATGAGTACACGAACTTCAAAGCACTTCCTGATGAACTGATCCAGAAGACATAGGACTGCTTCAACACTTTGATCAATCAATGCCGTAGAAACGACATTGCAAGAAC